GGACCATGTGATATTTCAGTTTTTCTTTTTTAATAAATCTGCAAAAATGTCAACAATTCTGTGTTTTTCTGTCAATATGGGGTGCTGGGTGTACATTGAGGAAAAAAAATGAACTTAAATGATTTTAGCAAATGGCTGCAATATAACAAAGAGTGAAAAATTTAAGGGGGTCTGAATACTTTCCGTACCCACTGTATATCACTATACATTTAATCAATCATAGTACATTGAAACACAAAACTGTGTTACATTTAAATATGCAAATGAGGTAATATTTAATTAAAAATCTGCTAAAATTCTTGTTTGCTGACATATTAGAATTAAAGGTTTTTACAGAGGAGATTATGTGCTTTTGTTAATTTTATTAGCTTGTTTTTTGTATTTAATTCATAAAAATCTTTTTATAAAACGGATAGTTCCGGTCCTTGATTCTGATTGGCTGAGCCACGTTCGAAGCTGTTGTAAATTACTCTACAAACACACACTTTTGTTTACGTTTGTCTGTTGCTCGGTAGTTCTGAGGAGCTACATTGTTTGGTGGAAGAATACTGTTCTTATTAATATCATTACACTTTATTTGCTCGGTTTTATTTTGTGAAACCTTACTACCCATATGGAATAACCGTTTTATAAAAGCAATAAGCCCCGTGAAGCCATGGTTTACAGTGAATTCATAACAGCTAAGGGGGTTTTAGGCACTTCACTTCTCATCGTACCTAACAACGTCCCTTAGCTGTTATAAATTCACTGTAAACCACGGCTTCTTGGGGCTTAATTGCTTTATTATTTTTATTTCATTTTTAGTTTTTATTTATTGACAGTTAATAATTTTGGTGTTTTATCTTAAACTTCAAATAAACTGAATTTATTTTAAGCTTTACATCTAATAATTATAATTTTATGTCAACATTATTTCAGTTAACGAAAATGTTTTTAATAGTTTTAGTTAATAATAGCCCTGCTTCTTAAGGGCTTAAATTGACAAAAAGATCATTTATTGACCCGTCAACTCAGTAGTAAATGTTGTTACTCATTTTTAATGCAAAGAGGTCAAATTCTTAATGCAAAAATTTTCAAAACTTGGCAAAAAAGAAAAAAACCTTCACTAAAGTCTCAGTTTCAGCCACATGCACCACTGACATCCATTTTGGTTTGGAAATTCTGGAGAGCAGCTCAAAACCCTCAACACTTCAGTCTAATTCTTGTTTTAATATTGATATAAAAACATGGGCGTCGGAAGCAACAAAAAATGTGGGTACATAGTGTAACTGTAATTCAATGCTGCAACAAAGACTATATGATATCTTTAAAAGCAACAGGCGAACAAATGATGAACATTCACTTAAATAACAGCTTGTTTAGTGACAGTATGTGAGCACACAGCCAGACCCACCTGAGCAGCAGAGATGCTAATAATCGTTTACCTTGCTGTGTTGAGGGAGTGCAGTAGGTGCGAGTACTGAAAACACGGAATGGAGTTTAATTTATATGGACTCTGAATGAACCAAGTGGAATGGATTTAAGGAAGCAGCAGCGTGGAAGTCAAGGCTGTAGCTAAAATGCAGAATGGAGTTTAATTTATTAGGGCATTCCTCAAGTGGAATGGATTTGACTGACGGCGCTCTGAAAAGTGAACAGACATATGCGCTAGGGGTTGAACGACTTCTGATTTGTTCAAGTCGACTTTTTTACGTGATGAAAGTCGAGTCGAAGTCGACTAGTCGCTGATGATGTCTTTAATGAACAAATAAGTCTGGAGCTGTGATAAACAGCTTGTGCACAGCTATGGCATATGACACAGCGCTGCCCACATGGCTATTGCTTCTATAACAACTCATTTTTATCAGTTCTGTGTTTTCTGGTTTAATTCTTTGGATTCTGTTTTAATGCTTTGATTAAATTTTAATAACATGTCTAATCAAGTGAATTCATACATTTTAATATACTATTAAAATCTTAATACTATGAATTGTTCATATCAAAAATTCTTTGTTGTGTGTTTTAATGTCTCTGGATTCTGTGTTTTATGATTTGTAAATGTATTACCAAAAACCATAAAACAAATGAATGCATAAAATATTATTTTAATTTAATGAAAACAAAGCTGAATAACAAACTGCTGCACAACAGAGATTTATTATTGAAATTAAAATATGGATGGAAAATTGTGTAACATTGAGTGATATTCCATAAAAAAGGTTAATAAATTATATTCTTATTCTTATTATTATTAAGTTGAGAAATACATTCTACTGTACAATAATAATACATGTCTGTCACAATTTCTTCAAGTTAAACCAAACTTTTATTTTGGTGTTTTTCTGTGTGCATTTGATGACAGTTTTGATTTATTCATCCAAAATTAAATTTTTATGAACGGATTCTTCTGTTCCATGATTTCTGTATTGCAGAAATCACTTCATTAAGTTTTGTTGCAACAATGTAAGTTCTGCTCATGGCTGAATAGTACAATAACTTAACTGTTAACCACTGCAGAGTCTTAAAGGGATAGTTCGCCCCAAAATGAAAATTACCTGTAAGACCTTCGTTGATCTTGGGAACACAAATTAAAATATTTTTGGTGAAATTCGAGAGCTTTCTGACCTTGTAGAGACAGCAAGGCAACTGACACGTTCCCAGGCCTAGAAACTTAGTAAGTACATCATTAAAATAGTTAATGTGACATCAGTGGTTCAGCCGTAATGTTATGAAGCTACGAGAACACTTTTTGTGCACAAAAATAAAAATAACGACTTTACTCAATTTGTAGAACATGCATGTGCTGCACCTTGTTTACGAACAGAGGAATGCACACATGCGTCGTGGTACTCTTGTGAATGGCAGCGATGCGGGAACGTGTCAGTTGTGTTACGGTCTATGGAGGGTCAGAAAGCTCTCGGATTTCATCAAAAATATCTTAATTTGTGTTCCGAAGATAAACAAAGGTCTTGCGGGTTTGGAACAACATGAGGGTGATAAATTGCATTTTTAAAATATCTTAAATTGGAAAAAAGGTTATTTTTAAACTGTAATAATATTTCACAATATTAAGATTTGTACTTTATTTTTGATCAAATAAATGCATCCTTGGTGAGCATATACAGGACTTTTACAATTATTTTTAAAAGTTATATACTAGTGGGAATGTGTAAGTCACATTGTGAATACGTTATTTTCATAGAAATTTTATTACATAGAAATAGTAAATCTTTAGTCAGTAAATCTGACTGAAATGGATGGATATGAACTGATGACATACAGTATTGATTCAATTTAAAGGATTTTTTTTGTCAAAAGACAAAAATATATATATTTCCTCTCTCGGCGTCTGTTCTGTGCAGTGAGCGGCAGAGAAGCACACCGCAGCCGACTCGTCAATAAATGAGTACAAAACAGCATTTCCTAGCACCTGTCGCTTACTGATTGTTTGGAATTATAAAAATGAGTGTAGTTCGTCTGTTAATATCACATGCACTTTTTAGTTTGTTGTTTTTTTTTTGTTTGTTACTCAGACGCAGGCAGTGCGCTGCATGAGACAAAAAAGTAATATAGCCAAAACAACCGCATAGTGTAGATGCATGGTGATTCTATAGTGTATTCTATATTCTATTTCTTTAGTGTAGATGCATGGTGATTCTATAGTGTATTCTATATTCTATTTCTTTAGTGTAGATGCATGGTGATTCTATCAGACGATGCCGCGATTATAAATGAGTGACTCCTGGTTAACATGTATTAAAAGGGGTCGTGTTTAGTCACTATTTAGTGTGGTATTTTTTGACAATATTAACTCATCATGACAGTAAAATAAGTCAATCCATTCGAAGTCAATATACTGCAGTATTTCCGTACAAAATACCGTCATGTACCGTGAAACCGGTATAATTTGGAAAAATACCGTGATATAAATTTTTGCTCATACCGCCCAGCACTCTGAGTGAGTAATTAATGACAGAATTGTAATTTTTTGGTGAACTATCCCTTTAATTATAATTTGCACCTGGTTAAAAACACATGGTCAAAAGTTCTCTTACCCAAATCCTCAGACTCAAACAGATAGGCCTCGTCCACTCCTATGTGACGACACCAGGACAGAAAATTCGCTGTGTTGTCGCGGGCGAAAAACGATCCAGGAGAGGCGTTTTTCTTGAACTGGATTTTCTTTAAGGGCAGCTGTTAACAAAACAGAGACGGGAATTACACGTTAACAGTCCTGCGGTTATGCGAGCTGCGTCACCACGTCACACGTTCCTTACACACCTGTGTTTCCGAGTCCTGTGGGATTTTACTCTGCAGAATTCCAGCCAGGCGACACAGTTTGACACCGTTGTCCAGCTCCTCCATGAAGCATTCGGCTGTCACCTGCTCGCCTGCAAAAACACAAATATCTCCATGTTTCCAACAACCTGACAACAACCATGTAACTGACTTACATGTTACTAAATAGCCTTTAACTGAATTCAGCATCATTATGCCATCACGAGCTGGCTTTGATGATTAGAAGTTCAACATATTCATATTTTTCACATAGAGGGCAAAACAAGGCTTTCCTGCCTATTATTTTTTACCAGGATTGTACTAAGTATTAACATACTAAAACAGTGATCTTAAAAAGCCAAATTCAGTATATAACTTACTGATGATGCACACTATATACAGTTAAGCAGATGCGCCCAGAATATGAACACAAGTTGCGCAGCATGCTCACTTGTACGCCAAGCATTTTCCCATAGAAAACCATTACAAAAAATGTGGCTTAATCCATTAAGACAGACCAAATTCAGTATACACTATATTAATAAAGCATACAGGCAAGCAGATGAGCCCAGAATGTGAGCGCATTGCGCAAAGTTTCACGTTTTCACGTTTCTTTATAATGGTTTTCTATGGGAAAATGCTTATATTTGCATTCATATTCTAGGCTCATCTGCTTATATATAGTATGCATCATCAAAAAAAATGTATACTGAATGTGATATTTTAATACCACTATATAATTACACGTTAAAGGTGCAGTAAGTAATATTGTCAACTAGTGGACTGACTGACTCCACGCTCATGCGGGTTGCCAGATTGAGAAGACACAACAGGAACAAGCTTTCTATTTCTGAGGTCATCGAGCTTTTTAGATGGATGTCGAGGCTTTATCAGGTCAGGTAGAATCTTCAATCTCTGACCCAGTTGGTTTGCTGGTTTGGCTGCAACACATTGCGTTTTCCACCAACTGGCAACCCGGGGGGTTTCAAAATCCTATTGGGTAAACTGGCAGTGGGCGGAATCACACAGACCAACACAAAAACAGGCATTCCGACACGGAACACACATTTCAAAGTAGAATAACTGGCTGAAGCATTGTTTTTTAGGAGAAACAAGTATGTGAACTTGGTATGTTGCCTTAAAATCGGCAAACATATGGTATTTTTATGCTTTAGTACAGTCAAAACATTATATACAGCACCTTTAAGTACAAGATGGAACCTTCACAATGAGCAAAAAAAGTCACTTTCCAAAACCTTCACTCTCTCTATTCTCCTCTTTTCTAGCTTGCCTAATCTTGCCTTAAAGGAACACTCTACTATTTTTTCATTTTCCAACTCCCCTAGGGTTAAACAGTTGAGTTTTACCGTTTAACTCAACTGTTTAACTCTAGGGGAGTTGGAAAATGAGTCTATTTTCAAAAATAGTGGAGTGTTCCTTTAAATAGGAAAAATATAGAAACTCTTTGGTCATTTTTGAGCGAGATGCTAACGGTCTAATCAGATTCAATGATCTATGCTAAGCTAAGCTAAAAGTGCTACCGCCAGACCCGGAGATCGGCTGAATGGATTCGAAAACGGTAAAACTCAACTGTTTAACTCTAGGGGAGTTGGAAAATGAGCCTATTTTCAAAAATAGTGGAGTGTTCCTTTAATCAAGTTGTCTAATAAACCGGGCATTGCATATTATGAATATTGTTTGCCCTTTGACGAATTACTGTGTTCCTCTTTTGTAAATCACTTTGGATAAAAGCATCTGCCAAATGCATACATGTAAACTTGACAGGCCTGTGCTGCAATTCTATGGCCGTTTTGCCCTCCAGGTCTCCACGCCGGTCATGTGACCAAAAACTACGAACATCACATAAAATTCACACTTATGATGCTACAATCACCAGCACCGTCAGTGGAAAATGAACGAGGTCGACAGCAAAAAACAGTCACATTTTAGTAATTTGTTCAAATTCCACAACGTATTCAGTGTATTATCTGAAAGAGGACTATAGGATTACGAGGACTTAATCTAAAAAAGAAAGAAAAAAAAGGCAACAAACAGAGCAATATGGGTGAACATTCTTTTGACCCGGGTGAACATGCTCAGCATGTGGACAGACAGGTAAAGGCAACACCCTCCATTATTCTACAAAGACTGAGAGATTGAGTTCTTGTTTCGGGGGTCGTATATCACCGCTATACGAGAGGCTTGCAGCAAAGGGTGTGAAGAAACGAACTATATACTCCGAAACGGTTTCAGTTATTTGACCAACGAAAGGAAATGGCATTTAGACTTATAATGGCAGTAATTTTTCACTTTCGTGCACTGATAGTGAGTCATAGACATCTTGTTTTGCATGAGCAGGTTTACCCAGCATGCCACTCAGCCAGATGGCCAGATCCTCCTGCATGGGTACCAGCGTGGCTTCGTGTCGCACAGCCAACCACTGGTCATAATGGAACACATCAGCCAGACCCGGGCCGGGCCGGGGGGAGCGCAGGCCGCGAGGACTCTGTAACGGGACATCAAACTTCTCGCCGAACCAAGCCTGAGAGAGAGAAAGAGGAAAACCAGACAGCTCAACATGTGCACACTGAGAAGCACACACAATGACCCCTCACACAGATTCCATGCTCTCTCTCCGGAAACTAAGACCATGCTGAAATCAGGACAGTTTGCAAACACTCAAGCTCTAACAAACACGACAAATCAAACAAATGACAACTTACACAAGCAGAGGAGTAATAACACTTCGATTAAACAACACTCTCATAAGAGACCTTGTGGTAAAACCTCTCACAGGCTTCACACAAACATGCTGAAGTTAAAAACTTGGGGTTAAGTATTCAAGCAAACCCCTAACCGTGAGTACGAGTATGACTACTAGTGATAGACACTTAATATTCCGTAATATTATTGATTTGACTGCACTGAATTGACCTGAATCGAGATAATGACAATGTTCTAATAATATTTTGCTAACATTTTCTCCAAACATTTAAAACGCCCAGTTTTTTGTTAAATGTTTCAAAAACATTTTTTGAGGGGAATGCAAACGTTAAGGGAACATTGCATTTTACAATTTTGCAAACATTTTATGAATGTTACTTTTGCATGTTCTCTGAAAGTTCTGAAACAAGTAGTAACATTTAAAAAAATGGTACACTAAGAAATGAAACGTTCCATGAACAATGTATAAATAATATTTTT